TAAATTGGCATGCTGATTTTAACACAAGTTACATGACACCACAAAATGATCCATAAAGCGGTAGGTGTCATTATCACCTGCATTTTCTTAACCATTTCCTCAGCATCTTGGTCCCATATTAGACATCTGCCGTTGTCAGTAATATATGATCTGCAGGCTGTAACCATCTGATTTGTAACCTGGACAGTTTTTTTCAGGAAAAAAAAAGTAAATTGGACACTTACATTTTCTGAAAACAACTTAAATGTTCTGCGGCTAAAAACAAAACACTTACTTTTACGAACAGTGCTGATATCTTTTCTCTGGTATTGTAGTACAATGAAACATTGTAAATCATTTGAATAGCATTGATGACGTTCGGCACGCTTTTCAACATGGTGACCTGAAATCACACACAATTATCAGAAGTATCTACAAAATAAAAGGTAAATAGATGGGAAATGTATGAATAAGAATAAATACACAGATAATAATAAATACAGTGAATACAGTACTGTATATACAGCAGTAATGTGCAAGGATAATTGCGCTTCAGCAAAGCACACGACAACTTGCTATTTCCTTCTGGAAATGCAACTGACGCCACACATACGTTTAAAAAAACTCGATGGAGCCGTTTCCTTCATTGACTTTGTTTAGTAAAAAACTAATTTAATCCTGTTTGGAAATAATGCATTTCTCCTTTACTTTAAAACTCACAGCTTTGTGTAGTCCACCATAAAAACTGTCTTTAATTATTACCAGTTATCCACTAGAGGTCACTGTATCTAGGGTTGTCCGGTGCCTTGCTCAAGGGCACCACGGCAGGGCAGGAGGTGAACTGGGACCTCTCCAAGTAGCAGTCCACACTCCATATTTTAGGTCTGGTCGGGGACTTGAACCGGCGACCCTACAGCTCCCAGTCCAAGCCCCTACTGACTGAGCCACTGCCGGAGATTGTTGGCTTGTTCAATAAACATTGAATTCTATGTCAACTGTTTTAAATGTGTTATTGTCAAAAAAATTATAAGGATTGATATCATGGGTAATGTGAAAGGTGATCGTCAATGTTTAATATGTTTTATGCCGATTTATTTCATTATTTCACTCTAATACGTATGGTGTAATAAGTCCTCCCTGTAGAATGTCAACACTCTACAAAGAAGTAATACATTTGATATGCAGTGTTTTAACAACCATTGGTCATCCACACATGTTCAACACATTGTGCCCGCAATATACCCCTACATCTTAGTGCAGATACAATGATGTAGCATACAAAAAGTACAAATACATACGTTGCTTAGACATGTATTATAAATGACTGTTCCTACCGGGTCACTATTGTAAAGAGGTTGACAGATTTTTTCCAGAGTGTTAAGATATTTGACATTGTCCTTTGCCTCATTTACGCGATCTGTTATCCTGGCATCCAGCTCCCGCCACATCTATATAGTTCAAAAAGTTGATATACAATGTAATCCTTCAAAAAGACAAGTTAAAGATGCAATTTACGCCTACCGATTCTTGTTTCAAATAAAACTCTTTTCACTTGAAGTGATGTTCTCAGGTTTAATTAAAAACACATAAGACATGTCTTAAAAAATATTGAAAATATATATATACAATAACTCTGCATTACTATGTTGACTTTCTACACTTAAGCGTCCATACCTTCATAGTCTTGGAGTGGCTGATATGGAGAACCATCATCACCGCCTTACACTCTGGACCCTTGATGTGATTGATGATAGAGTTGAACCTTAAAGACATTTTTTTCCAGTGTTCTAACTCACTCAACGGGCCTGCAGAATCAACCCCTTTCCTTAACTGATCAGTTTCTATCAGGACCTGACGAGGATGGATATAGAGAATAGTTACAGAGTATTTTCCACAAGCAGTAATTCATGTACAATAAGATAGATATTGTGAGTAATATGCTTTGCTTTGGCAGTTAACTGATGCTTGATACTGGGTAAGTGGTAAAGGATGTATTTTTAAAGATTTTAAAAAAACCTACCTTCTCGATTTGCTTATACCATTGCATGAGAATTTCTTCCAGTCGATGCACCATGTCAAAGTTAGCAGCTGCAACCTTCATGTCTTCCATGGAGACCAACTTAGAGAAGTCAATGTCAGTGACTTTATTCAGGTGAACAATACTCTCATTGCTCATCTGGATGTCTGGGGTACAAACAAGCAAAAAAGTACAAGATCATCAAATGCACTTTATCACCACCATTATTAGGTTACACCAATATAATGGCTAACAGATAAAGCAAAGATTGACAATTTTAAAGAAATTAAATATGACTGGCGGAAAAATATGGTAAAGACTGTTGGTGTGGTGTGGTGTTGCTGCTTATAATGTATTATAATCAAAACTTGAAGACTTGAAAAAAAGTGCAAATGCCAACTTAAATCAAATAACAACTTACCATCTAAAGAGCTCAGGCAACACTTCATGGAGTACTTGAAGTTACTCTTAATTTTTTCACCATGTCTTGATTTATCTAAGACACCCCAGTTTTGTCCTGCATCGAGAGCTGGTAACAGAAAATTGAAGGCATTTCTTGTTCCTTTTAGAAGGCCCTCTCTGGCATCGACCATTGAAAAGAAGATCTCCTACAAAGCATGAAGATAATATCATCCATCTCTTCACAAAATCCAAAAGGGAAAAAAAGGCAATTAAAATAACTGAATTGGGGTTGTTAATCTTACTAAAAATGAAAGCTTTGCATTTTAGACAATATCCAGAAAAACACTACTTTACACGAAACAGACTGTCTTACCTCACGTATGTTTTCTGAATTCACAGGAATGTCCACTCTGGTCCGTGTGAAAGAGCAGCAAATACCTGTCAGGCATGTCTGAGACAGATTGGCTAAAAACAGCCTCAATATTTTTCCCTTTTTGGTAGTGCCAGTATATGAGCGTCCACACTCTGAAATTAAATTGTCAAATGTTTTTTTCATTAAAATCTCAAATTAATCTGGACAATTTATAAAGATTCTGTACTAAAATGTAATATTTAAGTACAATCAACTATGCAATACAATTATGCCTACCTGTTCCTGGAACTTCCGACATTTGATACACAAAGGAGATGGCCTTACGACCTCCTTTGGCGAAGAAATCATCAAAATCATCCAGCTATTTAGCAAGACGAAAGAATGAAATTATTTTAAACTTTTAATGAAATGGCTGAGTTGAATAGGCAATAAGGACATTTAACCAAAAACACACTTTTTATTTCGTCGTAAATAAAAACATCTACGAAATGTAAACTTCTCTTATAAGTCAAGGAGAGACACCGCTGGTATTGGTATCAACTACTTTATGTATGTTGTGACATACCTAGTATTATCTAAGGGAAAAAAGTTGTCACCAATGGAATAACTCACAGGTGAACAATCTAAAATAAATTCCTCTACTGCTGTTGGCTTCAAGAACAGACCGTTGGCCAGGATGTCAATCATGTACTTGTGTGAAGGGGTGAGGAGCTTCTTTCTCTCCTCTCTAGCCTGCATGTATTTGGCCTGTAGAAAACAAAGGTTGTAAATAGAAGCAATGGTATTTCAACACTTGGAAAAAACGCTGTGCCATACTGAACTAGTACAACAAATGTGTTCACTTATATTTTGTAAGGACATGTACCTGAGATTCATGCTTGTTTGCCTTTGGATCAGGTGTATCCATCTTTGAAGGCTCAGGCAATATTACTTATTTCACTGTTGAATAACGTAGTTTTTCTGCATATTCTCTGTAATGAGCAAAAGAAACACAACATAATTGTATACCAACAAACGCTTCATTATCGTGGACATGTGAACTGTAGTTTGTTGAATAGACCTAGCAAAGTTATACAAAGTGACTTGATGAAGCCCCAAAGAAATACCGTTAATCCAAGTAAGATGTATTTTTGTGTATTTTTTTCAGTAAAATTATTTTGTATGTTCTTGTTTTACTCTGTATAAATACCTGTGTACCCCTGATGTCAATATTTTTGTGTGAATATAATGTTTGATGTAGATATATATGTTCTTGAATAAAGGAGAAAAAAAAGAAGAAAAAACTAGGTCAACGGTCAACTAAGCTAGACCAACGTTTGTGTATCGTTGTGGGTTTAAAGGCCTACCATTGTTGAAAACATGTTACTAAACTATTCTTAACTGGCTAGTTTATTAACTTTATGCTAAACTTAAAACTGTAATGAATACATTTAAAACATACAGTAAGCGTTTGCTAGCTAACATCAACGCTACCGTTAGCAAGTCAAACAGTTTGCTGTTAGATAATATCGTACCTCTTTTCAACGTTGCTAACAATATCTAACATATTGTCTACTTACCAAAACTCAGTAATCCGATACAAATATAGCTGCGCGTTGGCTTCATTTTCTTTGAGTGCTGTTTCTGTTTCTTCCAGGGAAGACTCATTGGCGGTGTCGTTGACAATGAAGTTATCATCCAAATCCAGCCGTTATCTCTTTGCGTTTTCTAACGGTAACTGTTTAAAAAGATGGCACGCGCACTAGCCGTTAGTGCTAGATATGACGTGGAGAAACAAACCAGTAACGGTAATTTAAATCTGAACGTTTCTAACTAACTTTAAATTGAGTGGTGATCTTTGTTCTTACTTTTAAGAGATAAAGCCAAACATTGTATTATGCTTGTTCGTGTATTTCTTTCAGATATGGCTCTAATATTTTTTGTTTATATGTTATAGTCTTGTTTGAGACGCTTTAACAGCATGAACGCATACAAACCATGATACAAACAAACAACAATGAACAGTCTACCAACTTTAGAGATAACTATTACTTCCTCCTCTGGTCATGTGGTGACCACTTTAGTTTCTACATTAATATCTGGCACCCTCTGCAGGACTGTTGGTATAATGACAACGTCGAAATGAGAACCGCTGATCCTGGATCAGGCTCTGGAGAGGACATATGTTTCGTGGTCCACTGTTATTGGTCCAGATACACCATCTTGTTATCCAATAGCAGGCAGACATCTGTTCACTGGAGCGACTCTAAAATATTCTCCTCTCTTCCTTCTCTACAGGGTTTTCAATACTCAGCAAGGACGTTGTCGGTAGTGAAAAGTTGATCAGAGGTGGGAAAATGCAAGTCTTGGGTGTAGTTGCGGTAATATTAGCAGTGTACTGTGTACATGCAAAGATCTACTTTCGGGAGGAGTTTCTCGACGGTGGTAAGTTTGGCATTTGAATCTTGAACTGTGCATGGGGATTATTCATTGCGTGTTAGCAAAGCTGTTAGCCGTCATTTTGTCACACATCTCATCGTGTGTTTCTATTGAAAGCTTGTTCTTGTGCCGTTTAATCTGTGATTTAGTGTAAAAAACGAACCTCTCTATTTCATAACTCAAGATGGGTTGGCAGCTTGCTAACTTTAGCAAGGCCCCAAAGCTAGCAAACGTTATAACCAGAGGTGTAAAGTAACTAAGTGCATTTACTCATGTACTGTACACTTGTATTAATACACTTAATATAATTTGAGAGACTTTAACTTTACTTGAGCATTTAAATGTGTTGCTAATTTGTAATTCTACCCTACTACAATTCAGTAGTATACATAGTGTACTTTTACTCCACTACATTTTTTAAATGCCTTTTTAGTTACTTTGCAGATTTGGAATCATAATGTGACATAAACAACACTTAAAAAGGACTTTAGTTACACCTGAAGTAACATTCACAAGCTACCCTGCAGCCAACATAGTTATTAAAGGTAGCTGCAAATTAATAATCTTAATCAAATCATATGATATTATTCTGAAATGGTCCAATCTGTGTAATGAATACAGGACTTTTACTTTTAATAAAGTATTCATATTCTGTGGTAGCTCTACTTTTACTGAAGTTCAAGATCTGAGTACTTCTTCCATCTTTGATATTAACGTTACCCTTTACTAATGACACCTTAGTTACTAGCTTTGTTGCAAGCAGGAAGTAGCTTCATGTAAAAGAAAGAGGTGTCGCAAGTGTTCAAAACGTGGTAATCTTACTGGTCTTTCTCTGTGCAGATGAATGGAGAAGTCGCTGGGTAAACTCCAAACACAAAACTGACTATGGAGAGTGGAAACTAACAGCTGGCAACTTCTATGGAGATGCTGAGAAAGACAAAGGTAATACAATTTTGATATTGAATATGTTCCAATTAACCTGATTCAACAGCTTTATTGCTTGAGGTAATCATGACATTACTGCCTTCTCAGCCCAGCCTTGGAATTATCTCACACTTCTAATTTAAAAAAACACTTATCAGGTCTATGTTTTGTTACTTTAGTGTTTTCATCTTCTAGTACAGTTCCAACATTGTTAGCCATAGAGAACCTATTTTGCTTTTGTCCTGTTAATTCATTATTTTTGCACTCTTTTTTTTCAGGCTTGCAAACAAGCCAGGATGCTCGCTTCTATGCCACCTCTGCCCGTTTTGAGCCTTTCAGCAATGAGGACAAGCCTTTAGTCATTCAGTTTACTGTGAAGCATGAGCAGAAGATTGACTGTGGTGGTGGTTATGTGAAGGTCTTCCCTTCTGACTTGGAGCAGACTGAAATGCATGGAGATTCCTCATACTACATCATGTTTGGTAAGTGATGATGTTGATGATAATAAAGAATTATAACTTAATGGTTACACTTTCAGAATTTGGAACATCTAGTAATTACATTTATTTCACACAGGCCCTGATATCTGTGGGTACAGCACCAAGAAAGTACACGTCATCTTCAATTACAAGGGCAAGAATCACCTCATCAAGAAAGAGATTAAGTGCAAGGTAAGTCTGGCTGTTAATATATTTTATTTTCCAAAACATTTTTTTTCTTCTTCTGCATCAATGGTGTAATTCAAAACACTTTTTTTTCTAGGATGATGAGCTGACCCACATGTACACGTTGATCCTGAATCCAGATCAGACCTATGAGGTAAAGATTGATAATGAGAAGGTAGAATCTGGCAGCCTGGAAGAGGACTGGGACTTATTGCCTGCTAAGAAAATCAAGGATCCTGAAGCTAAGAAGCCAGAGGACTGGGATGACATCCCAGTCCTCTGGCTTCTTAGCTTCAGGATCCTTGATTTTCTTAGCAGGCAATAAGTCCCAGTCCTCTTCCAGGCTGCCAGATTCTACCTTCTCATNTAGATCCTAAATATTCAGTAAATAATTGCGCAGAACAATATTTGATTAGTTTAAATGTGATTTTTCAGTTAATATATGGGGATTTATTTATTTATTCCGAATTATTTTGTAATATTTGATTTTAAACAAA